TGGAGAGCAGTGGCTTTTTCCTTGCAACCCTGCCATGAACACCATTGTTCAGTGTTCTCCTGAGGGAGGCCTCACAAACACTGACTTTGACCAATGCAAGAGAGGCCTTTAGTACCTTAGACATTATTGTGGGCTTCTTTGAGATCTCCTGATATATTACACACCCTGCTCTTGGTGTGATCTTGATTGGTTGACCACTTCTGGGTAGCGTAACAATGGTGCTCAATTGCCTCCATTTGTACACAATCTGCCTGAAGTGGACTGGTGGAGTCCAAACTCTTGGAAATAGTTTTGTAACCTTTTCTAGCTTGGTGACCATCAACAATGGTTTTTCAGAGGTCCTCAGAAATCTTTGTTTAAACCATGACACACTTCCACATACCTGCGTTGTGAAGATCAGACTTTGATAGTGAATACCCAGAATTCTGTTCTTTCAATAAGACAGGACCTCTCACACTCACACCCAATTATCATCCCATTGATTGAAACACCTGACTCTAATTTCCCCTTCCAATGAACTGATGATCCTACAGGTTCACATACTTCTGCCACACACCAACAGGTAGCTTTGGATCATTTTCCTCAATAAATGAATGAACAAATATGTTTTCAACTAATTGGTTTAACAAATGTGACATATCAGCCCAAATGTGGCAGAAGTGATGGGTATGGTGTCATTATCAAGGGTTCATGAACTGTGTATCAAAGTGGTTTGGTCATATAGAAAGAACGAATAAGGATCACATTGCAAAACAAATACGGGAGACAGTGGGGATTGGATGGAGCTGATGAGTTCCTCAAAAGGAGGTGGGAGGCTTAAAGAAGAGAAGGCAATGTGTGACTTGCTGTATGGATGTGGAAGAAACAAGGATGATTTGCAAGGACAGAAATAAATGGAGTGTGTATTGATGCAACTAGATGTGGCTATATTTCCTTTCCTTTCCTCTAGTCTCCTGCCTTTAATTTCTTTCGTCTACTTTTTCTCACCCTTTTTAAACATTTTGCATAATTATTTATCCTGAAAGGAAATAGGGTCAAGGAGCACATATGCGTGTCCCAATTTGATCTGCTGTATACCACTGCTTCTTGCAATGCCACAGACTCTAGAGTTCTTTGCAAAGCTAGAAGCAAAGCAGTTCTCTAGCCCAGTATCTCTAGTATTGACAATAATTGGTAAAAAGAGAAATAAGCAAATCATGAGACTCTTTAGGAAATACCAAACAGCTGGAATTAAAGAGGCTAAAGGAGCACTTACTGTTGACCCTGGCTGTAATAGCCTTCATACCCTTCGTAACTTTGCTCAGCATAAGCATCATCATAGCCCTGAAATGGACAAAGAAGAAGGGAGTCAGCAGCTATGGCCACAGGAGAGGAGGTATCATTAGGGAAGGGAAGAGTGTGTCTTCTAAGAAGATCAAATCCAATCTGGTACGCGGAGTACCAGGAGGATGATTTGGGACTTGAACTTGATGAACCACACAGGAACGTTTCACGGAATAGAATTCCTTTTAAATTTATTTTAGCACATCATCCAGAACTGACCATGATGATAATTCAAGGTCAGGGTTAAAATCACAGTATGTAGTTGTAACTACCTTTCTAACAGGGCCGAAGATGTAATTAAATTGGAATAGATTGCCAATTTTAGTGGTAAGGCCCAGTTGGTTTGCTCTTTTGGTAAAAAGATTTTGCAGACAGGGAAACTGCAAGGCTGACTGGTGCATTGTTCATATTTCCCAGGGCAATGTAAATATATTAATATTTACCATATTTATTAATTAACAGATTTGCTTCCTGATGTTAACTGCCAAATTGTTATAGGAAAACACTGGAAAAATTATATCCCTTTTTTGTATTTGAAAGTATATGACATTGCTCTAACAAAAATTAACACATAAAAGAACACTGAAAAACTCAATGGTGAAGGACAGTTGTTCAACTAATCTATTCAAATCTGGCCATCCATTATCACCTGTATTAACAGTAGATTTCCTAATTTATTTATTCTGTACAAATGTCATATAGGATACCAATACTGAATATGATTCTTTAAACTATTTGTATGTCTTCTTAAGCCCACATGTATATTCAGATTCATATATTTATACTGTTAAATTACTATTTTTCTTTTTCATTTGCATCTGATTATTGTCCCTTCTTTAACTTTGTATTTTTGTTAGGACATTTTGTTTCCAAAAAATAAGTCAAAATGGTGAAGTGGAAAATAGACACACATATATACAAAACACAATATAATTCAACTCTGTAATTTAGTTCATCAGGCCAAAGATAACGGCTTAATTCAGGTGTCATTTTCACCTAATAAATGGTTAGGCAAAAGTGGACAGAACATAGGTTTGGTTTCCTGGAAGATATTTGGAAGATTTGCTGCAGATCAGCAATTCTCAATGATTCAAGTATAGCAAAATTTAAGATGTGAGATCTAAGCTACGATGTCTGATACAAAATAGTTTCGATGCAAATTTTCTTTGTTGTATACTGGTCATTCCACCAGGTGATTGTAGGTTTCCCTAAGAACACTAAATTCAATAACTTTTACTACTGATGCATTCATTCAACTTGCTTTCTTCTGATTTTCAGCATGACTATTAGATAAGTACTTTTATGCTCATGCATTCATTCTACATTTCTTTCCCCTGTACATTCTATTGATAGATTTCCGGGATTACAGAAACTGACTGAGTTTGTGACTGAACCAGCATGTAAAAAAACAAGGTCCTAGTATGCAGTCTAAAATTAAACCATCATTTCTGGGTTAGTAAACCCAAGAAGGCTTTCATAATAGCACACACAAAAAACGAGGCACACAGGGAGACAATTATGTCTTAATCAGGCCATAATCTCTAGTATGGCTATAGCAAAAGGTATGCATTATCTACAGAAATACTTCTCAAAGAAGCACAATGACTACTGTCATAATCCATCTTCCCTTTGTTAGCCTACTGGACTCATAAGGCAAGGAATTCAGCTCCATTAAACTACAAGCAGTCCTTCACAGAATTCTGGTCCAGCTGTATGACATGTACCAGGGCTTTCGGTTGTATGCGTAAGGAACAGATACTGCCTGAAGCAGGCTCAAAGATGGACAAGCCAAAAACCCAACTCTATTCACTACTGTTTCATTCCTCCTGAAACAAAGTGAAGTTCACCTATCATCCGCATTTCTTGTAGGCATCCAATGTCAAAGGAAACATATTTGAAACTTCCCAAAATAGTGGCCAGTGGCACAACAAGGACCCTACCTTGTGACAGACAGATAAATAGATATTGCTGTCTGCACCAGCGCTGTGAGCAAAATGAGGCACCAACTCCAACGGTTCATTCCAGTGCTCCTATGCCTAATGTAGGTTTCCTAAACAGTCTTTGAAAATAAAATGATGGGTAACTACAGATCAGTGCTTTGTTCAGCCATGTGCAAACTTACACCCAAATATAGTGCAGTTATAAGAAATATCAGGGGGACAAACCAGTTTTTCTTCTGGTAGATGGATATTTAGTTGCTGGCCACTTAGTGAATGGGCAAGACCCCCCTCCCTGGCAACTATTTCCAACGATCTACAACACGCTCTCAAAATGCAAATCCAAAATGAATAGGGGCCCCACATTTCCAAGATGCTCTCAAACTGTAAAGCATGCAACATTTAATATTCCTTACATAATCTTCGTAGGTCTCTGGTGCAGGAGGAGGAGGAAGTGGTATTCTTTGAATGCCTGCTGCGCGAGCTCTTGGGGCAGGGGCCCCTCTCACTGCTGGAAGAGGGGGAACACCACGGGCCACAGCTGCTCCTCTTGCAATCGCACCCCTCACTGGAGCACCCCGCACAAGGGCTCCACGGGGAGGCGGTGGTGGAGGTCCCACACCACGTCCTCTATTCAGAAAAGGCAGAAAAAAGAGGTGTGGGTGGTCTGCACAGGAAAGCTGATCTGTTGCTTCTCAGGAAGACAAACTTATAAAAATGATGATCTTCTCAAAGCAGAGAAAAAAATGCCCAGATGGGAAACCCAGTCTCAATAAGGTTAAGTATCTACCAAAGTCGCTTCAAAGACAAGTTAAACCAGAGTGCTAATTCTAGTGCTAAGAGGAGCCTGGAACCTCTAAACACTGGTATAGGAATTTATTTTATTACTTGGTCAGAAAATATAGGTAGGAAAGAGGGAGCATTATTACTTGCTGCCAAAACGCATGACTCAGATTCTATTACCTGAAGGTACAGAAGAGTTTATTTCCCAAGATTCAATTTCTGAATCAACTGGGACTTTTTAACGTAAAGCCAAAATTATCAAAGGGGAAGGCAAATCTGTGAATAAGGGACACAGGAAGCAGATCAGAAACTGTGATGGTTTGAGGGACTAAAGGAATATAGCTATTTAAAAATGTTTAAAAGCCAGCTCTACAGCACCCTTAAAACTATCCCCAGGCAGTGGACGCTGAGTTCCATCCAATTTGGAAACCAGGTAGCCTGAGGGTTGGAGACTTTCTAAACAGAAAGTGTCCATTCAGAATGCTAAATTCTACCCTTACTCACTGCAAAATATCTTGGAACTACTATATATAATGAAAACCGATCTGCAGTTAGAGACAATGGCAAGAGCCCTGCTAGAAAAATCAGGCCACCCTCATGTATCAGGTATTCAGTTACAGGACAAATGAAATATACTTTATAATTAAATCAACATTCCAAATCTGCTGTCTAAACGGAACACAACTTTTCTACTGCCTCTCACTTTTTTACCAGGACCACCCCATTCCGCAGATGTAACTTCCCCAAATATCCTAAAAAAAAAAAAATCATTGTTTATTTAATGGCGCCTGCTCATTTTCTCGAACTTAAGTCCAATATTAATGCTTAAGCATTTCAAATTAATTATCCATTTATCTATTTATTACCTAGGAACGGGTGGAGGTGGGGGCACTGCTCCCCTTCCTCGGACAGGGATCCCCCGACCACGTGTTGGCTCTGGCACCCCATTGAGATAGGACAATTCCAAAAACTGTTCCTGGCAGATGTCATCCATCATATCCTATACAGAAACAAAGAGAATTAACTTCTGTTCTGTGCAGAATGTTTTAATTTGAAAGACCATTTTGTGTAGTGAACAGCAAACCTTGCAAAACAGGTGCAGGTCATGCTGTTGCAAAACATTTTTGGCCTCTTCAGAATTTCTAGGTTTGCTGTCATTCCATTGCTTTCAGAAGTCTTATTACTATAAACTTACTACTTCTACTTGCTGGAGACTTGCTGGTGACCCAATAGATGACAAGGACCTGCACCATAAACAGTTTAATGACCAGCACTCAGAATTCTGCTGGTGACCAAAGCAGCTCCTATGAAAGGGGTGTTATTCTGCTGAACCATGGCCAGGCCCAGTCAGCAAGCAGGCAGTTATGTTGTGAACCACTTGTAGTTTATGAATAGGCAGCCCCATGTAATGAGGGAGGTGGGTGGGTTGTGCCTTCAAGTCAGTCTTAACTCCTGGTGACTTTTCTTGGCAAGAGCTTTGGAAATGGTTTGCCGTTGTCTTCTTCCCAGAGCTGAGAGAGAGGGACTGGCCCAAAGTCACCCAGCTACCTAAAGCAGGACTAGAACTCATGGCCTCCTAGTTTCTAGCCTGGTGCCTTTAATCACAACACCAAATAGGCTCACAATGAACCTTACACTATCCAAGTGTGAGGTGACAAAGGTCCGAGTGACTTGATGGCACCTTGTTTCAGGAATGGTGGCATCTGGCATACTAGCTTCAGATAGGCAAAGGCTCTCCTGGCCATGGTCTCCATCTGCTATTCCAGAAGGAGCCACAAGTCCTGCTCCTTCCAGGGGAGTGCGATCCCATCGAGAACTGTAGTTGGAATTGGGAGAACCAGATGGTTACTGGATGAACAACCCCACTGTTTTACTGGGATTTAACCAGATTGGGACTTCCACCAGAACTCCTGCTTGGTCATCAACTGGACATCAAAAGCATACCAATTATCCCTCATTCTGAACTGGCAGATGACCTCACTCATATCAGGGCCAGCATCTAACTCATTACGTAAGAGTGGCCAAGGGCTCTACCTCGCATCACCCTACCTGACTGGACCTACCCCACAAATAGTCCAGAAGGATGCCATGGCTGATGGTATTAAACAATATGGGGGGATCTAGCAAGATCAGAAGGACTGCATTCCCTTCCTCCAGGTCATCCATAAGAATGAGCAATGCAGTTTCAGCCCCCATATCTAGGTTTGAACCCTGACAGCAAGGGAACCAGGTAGTCTACTTCCTCCAAGATCCTCTGTTGGTGAATCCCCAACAATTCTCCCCAAAAGGAAGGTTGTAGACAGGGCAGTACTGTTGGATTGAGGAACTGAATCTTTAGAAGAGCCACATCACCACTCCTTCAAGGCTACAACACAGAAATGGTTCACCACTCCTTTTTTCTCTAATTTTTTTTTTAACTTCCCTGTCTAGTCTACATCTCTGATACTTTCTGGTCTCCCATCCAAAGGTTCTGAATTACCCTCTTTATTTCATTAAGATGTTTACCTCTGATGTATTTACAAATCATTTGCTTGCTGATTTACTTGGACACAGTCTGAATTAATTATAGTTCTCAAAAATATTGTAAAGCCTCTCTCACAATCCCCTTTCTCATTTCACTGTATAATAGGAACATGTAGACAAAGAACTGGCTTTAAACTTAGACATGACTGAAACACCTGCCAAAGTACTATCTGTAATTCAACATTTTTTCCAAAACACTTCAAACTCTTGTGTCTTTGGATGCTCAGAAGCCATTTCTCCAGAACTGGGCTGACTCCAATTAATTCCCAAGGCTAAACAGACATAGACAACTAACATACCAAATACAGGTAGTCCTCGCTTCCTGCTTTGTGTAGCGACCGTCTGATGTTATGATGGTGTAAAAAAAAGCCAACCCAGATTTGTGACCAATCCTTGCATTTACGACTGCTGCAGCATCCCACAGTCATGTGATCACTCTTTATGTGATCACAATAAGCAGACTTAATGGAGAATGCAGAAGTGAAATTGTAGGTTAGTCATGTGATGTTTCTCTTAATGATGGTAGTGACTCATTTAACGACTAAATGGGAAGTGATGCTGTAAGCCGATCGTAGTCATGTGATTTTCCACTTAGCGACCGCAATGCTTAGCGATGGAGTTGTCAGTCCCAATTGTGGTCACTAAGCGAGGACTACCTATATGTTTTTATGTCAACATTTGAGGGGGGGGAAGTAGTTACGTACTGGAACAAGGAACTTCTTGACTTCTTCCATGGCATGGGCCATAAGAGCATAAGCCTCACAAGGGGGGCCAAAGACCTCAATGAAAACATGCAGATCCATATTTAAATGAGCATACTTTGGATCACCTCCTTTGCGTAATTCTTCCTCCTGAAAACAGAAAAAAACTATAGTTAGGATTTTAAAACAGGTAATTTTACTTTACCATTCTTAATCACACACTAATTCTTAACAGCTGCTTATAGGTCAGATTTGTTCTCCTTTCCCAAAGGTGTCAGCAGAGCTTCTGAATATCTACCCATCAAGCACAGGCAAAAATTTGTGCCACTCTTAAGGAATTAAGAATTAGGATAGTTCCGCCTCTTAAAATTGAAGAAAGGATTTGGTCATCATTATTTTCTCATTGTAAAAATTATAGACCCATATCCCTTTTGAATAATGACTATAAAATATATACTTCAATCTTAACAGAAAGACTAAAAATTATATTACAAGAAATAGTT